CTGAATCAGGATATTACAGGCAGACACCACACAGTTGCTGGAGCAGGAGTTATTTACAATGACATTCCAAAGCACAATTAAGGCTTGGGGGTGTTATACTGTAGGCCTACTCTTTGCCTAACGGAATAGAAACTTGCAGTGTAATTACGACCATACCAGAAAGTCCAATTCTCCTACTTTAATGCTCGCTGTGTCATACTGACGTTCATGACCGAAGCCCATGTGAGTCTTTGTCCATTACTGCACTATAGGGGGGGTCAAAGTCCTACAACCTGATACAAGCAGAAGACGTTTTCTGTATTGCAAGATATATTGAAAAATGTTTTCTTTCATTTATCTTTAGAGGTTCAGAATTTTCTGATGGCCTTCCCCTGGGCCTCAAGTCTCCATTGTTCTGTAGTCAAGTGAAGCGAAACCTTGGAAAGGAGTAAGATTTGGCACACGAGATCTCACTGATGTGGCCATACATGTTACATCACAGCTACGTCTCATTGAAATTCATTGTTGTAACATTGTTTTTGATGACATTCCAAAGCACAATTAAGGCTTGGGGGTGTTATACTGTAGGCCTACTCTTTGCATAACGGAATAGAAACTTGCAGTGTAATTACGACCATACCAGAAAGTCCAATTCTCCTACTTTAATGCTCGCTGTGTCATACTGACGTTCATGACCGAAGCCCATGTGAGTCTTTGTCCATTACTGCACTATAGGGGTCAAAGTCCTACAACCTGATACAAGCAGAAGACGTTTTCTGTATTGCAAGATATATTGAAAAATGTTTTCTTTCATTTATCTTTAGAGGTTCAGAATTTTCTGATGGCCTTCCCCTGGGCCTCAAGTCTCCATTGTTCTGTAGTCAAGTGAAGCGAAACCTTGGAAAGGAGTAAGATTTGGCACACGAGATCTCACTGATGTGGCCATACATGTTACATCACAGCTACGTCTCATTGAAATTCATTGTTGTAACATTGTTTTTTTCCTGACAAGTTTCCAAGAAGTACTTAGACTGCCATTATGACAGAGCTATTCTAGGGGTAGTTTACCCCAAAATAAAAAGTTGTCATTTACGTCGTCATTTATTACACTTTGTTGCAAGCCTGTGACTTATTTATTTCTGCGGTGCACAATAAAACAAAAGTCAGTGGGGGTCCATGTTGTTCGGACTTCAGCATTTTTCTAAATATCATATTTTGTGTTCTGCAGGAAGAAGAAGAAAAAAAAAATGGATAGCACACCCAAAAATGAAAATTCTGTCATCAATTGCTCACCCTCAGGTTTTGCTCATCTTGAAGATATTTTAATGAAACCGGAGATTTTTTGTCCCTCGGTTCAAAGTCAATCCCCCTAAAATTTTCATGCTTCCAAAAGTTCTTAAAACACTGTAAAAGTAATCCATTTATTTAAAGTTTAATTCAAGTCTTCTGAAGAGACACCGCCACTTTAAAATGATGAACAGATTTAATTGCAGTGCTGCAACAGAGTGAGATTATTGCTCTTAAATTGAGATAATTTCACCTCTTAATGGTGTTTTTAACTGTACTGGTCAAGCTAATGTTTTGATGTAGGGGGCTGATTGATAGCCTGCAGAATAGGCTGAAGTTATTCAGTATAATGCAAATTCTGTTATACGAACGTTTCACTATATAGATCATTTTAGCATCTTATTTATATTTCAGATAAATCAAGAATGTTTGCACTGACAAATATAAAACTTTTGATGCTTTTTTAAATGTGTTATTGTTATTAGAGTTGCTAGGCACCACCAAAAAGTACATGCAGATCCAGTAGCTAGAACAGCAGGGAAACGAGAAAGGATTGTAGTGGTCATATTAGCAATAGCAGCTTACTACCGTTTCTGGACAGAATGTTTCTCCTCCCTCTGTTCAAGAGAGACCATTGAGGAGACTCTCCACCCAAAATACCCATCCTGATAAAGTCATGTTGGCATTCATAAATACAGTAGCAAGCAGTAATTTTTGGGCCCAAGTACGTCAGATACAAAGTGACAAGCTAAGCAAGCATGGCAGGGAGCATCAGAGCAGTACAATGAAAGGCTTGCTATTTTTCAACATCTGCTTTTGCTGTCATTTACTCAGCAATATTATTAAAACTAGTTAAATGATATAGAATAACACCAAAAATATTACAATACTAATATTCTTTCCATTTTGGACACAAAGAAAAAGCGTTTCGGCATAACATTATGTAAAAATTAAACATTTATTCTGACCTGTATTTCTAAAAATAAAAAAAGAATTTCACTTCTTTACAAAAACTTCTTGACAAATGGGTAAAACCTAGTGGTTTGAAGGATAGTCATAAAATCTAAAGTTTTAAAATTATTAAGTTCATATTTTGAGACTGACATGTCTTTTAACATGTCATTAAATTATTCTTGTTCTAAATATGCCTAAATAATAATACTATTTTTTTTTACATATAAAATAATTACACTGAATGGCATTTTAGTGGGTGCATATCATGGTAAAAAAGACAACAACAACAAAACAGGACATTCTAATGGTTGGGGAAAAAAGTAAGTTACATTACACTTATTTATGTTTGATGCTTGAAAACCCTTTTCATTGACCAATAAACACTGATCAACACACTTAAATAGAGCACATCAAATATGGCAAACGTAAGCTTGATTGTACTTGCTTGATGTCCAAGAACCAATGAGGTTTTGTTTAACTTGGATTTCTTGTACGATCTCTTTATGAACATTTAAAAGACTGAACGTTTTGGGGAAATGGACTTTTAATGAAGGGACAGAAATCTCTTGTTTTCATAAAAAAAAAAAAATCATTAAAAAAGTGTTTCAAAGATCAACAAAAGCCTTGAGTTTGGAATGGCACAAAGGTGTGTAAATGACAGATTTTTGATTTTTCATTCAACAATGGAGACAGTCATTGTAGAGCTCCATTAAAACGAAATGCTATACCAGCAATAATACTGTGAAATTGGCATCATATGATAGAGAATAGAATTTATAGAACAAGCAACCAAATGATCACCTACTTAAAACACAATTAATCATTTTTTAAAAAGCTTATTGTAAGCTAGTACCTGAACAAAAGGTTAACACTCCCAACAGTGCCTTCTTTTGAAATCTTACCATGGAAAAAAGAAAGGAGTGGTTATGAAAATACAGGTCAGTTATACCAGACACATTATTTTTTTCTTAAGAAACAATATCTAATATGCTACATTGCTACATAGATAGGTGTGCATGCATTTATATAAGTTTAAGACACATTTGTTGAATATATTTTGCCATTAGCAAAGATTAAACTGTATATTATACAGAATAAAGCATGTCAGAACCAGGAAAAGAAAAACAATATCTCTGAAGTGTAATAATTTGTCCAAGCCACTACTACAATTTAAGACTAAGCATATTCAGCCTTCAAAAAAGAAAAAAAAAGTGACTTTCCATTACACCATTACATAAAACTGAAAACTTTTAGAGGTTTTACCCTCTTTGTGGGTGCAACAAACCAACAGATGTTTTCTTTTTCTTTGCATGACATCAAAAACAATAAAAAGAAACATAAGTTATATCATAGCTTTAGAAATGCTAATATTTCTTTACAATTGTATATACAATGTGTACTTTTATATTAAAATGCCATTAGAAATGCAGTGAAACGTACCATCATGCATTTAATAAAAATCATTTGAAATTGCTAACTTTCGGCTATGAAAAAATATAGTTCACTGATCGAATCAGTAGTTAAGCTTCAAAAAAGCAAAAAAACAACCTGTCAAATTACAGTGAATAAAGATTGCACAAATATGTAGTCTGCCAGCCCACAAATTACTGATAGCCTTTTGGCTGCTCGGTCAAGATAAACATTTGCACAATGTTTAAAAGCACAACACTTATGACACCAGAGTAGGGGAAACTATTGCAAAATTGTTCCATTCAGAATAGTTCACAACAGCTTTGATCACTAAAAATAGATGCTTCTATTGTATCAAGTATTAAGAGGGGTCGAAAAAGTTTGCATATAGGTTTAAAACCATCCTCCAGACCAAATCATACATTAAAGGCAACAAACACAAACACTAAAACTGAGATCCCATTTTATTTAGAGGCCTCATTTAATTGATAGTTATGAATTCAGTTTACACAAAACCCTTTAAAAAAAGTCAACATGCAGTGATCACAAGGATAGAAAGAAGAGCTTATAGATGGAGAACAAAGGATCTGAAATTGTGTCTAGGCCGTACACTTCAAATATTCACAGTGACTCATGTTTCTTTTCTTGTCCATGTATTCATACGGATTTAAACATACAAGGAAGGCATTGTTCTGACACAGAACAGTCAAACATCAAAAGCTTTAGGAATTTGAAAAAACCCTGTACCAAAGTCCAGTTTGACTTGCAGGATCCCAACATGCTGCTTCAAACCTCCATGACCACCTCACAATTTAAGGAGGTAAAGCTTATGGTCAGTTGTAGGGCTCCACCATCTTCAGTCCCAAAAAGGAAAAAAGGACTTGGATGCCCAGGATGAGGCATTTTTTTCTGCACATTTACTGCAGCGGAGACCTGTTCTCTCTTTTTAAAACAAATAAATGCAAGACCAAATGCAGTGGAGATGAAGCTCCTCTCACTGAAGTCTATGAAAATCTATGTACAGATTACTCTGAGCAATATTTAAAAGATCCAAAAGGAAATTACCAGACTTTTAGGTCAATTTCTTGTCATTTCTATTATTATGAAAAAGAAAAAAAGCTTCTTCGTGAAACAAAGAGAACAGCAGCTTCCTGTGGACACCCTAATACCAGCATTCCAAACAAGTGTGGATGATATTCATGAGAATCCGAAACAGTCCTTGATATTCACGCAGCTGTGATATACAAAAGATACTGACCTCCAAACCAAGCCACATTTCATATCGCATGAAACAAAAGCACTTTACAAAAATCTTATAAAGTAAGGCACTGCATTAACTTTCACTCTCTGGAATAGTGCTGTTCAACAACTCAGCTGGTTTGAGCGAGTTTAGACGTAGGCCCCTAAAGCAGCGTGGAACTCAGTGAGGCATTGGACGAGCTGTTGGAATTTTGGTCTCTCCTCCGGATCCAAGGCCCAGCAACAGGCCATCACTGCAAATCTGAAACAGAGAACATCTTCATATAAACAAAACATTTACTTTTATCAGATCGGTGACTGATGAAGCCGTAGCAGATTGGTCAAAGAAGAAAAAGACTTATTGGTCTTGATTACAGCTGACAGCAGCAAAGTTCGAAAAGGGCTTGAGTGAAAGTTGAGATCGCCTTATCGCTCAATTTCTATTCAGGCTTTCCAACACACAAGGCAAGCCACAGAGCAGTGATCCAATGCTGATTAGCTTTTCCTGCGTTCTCTAAACTGTGTTCCGGCGAGTGTGCGTAAGACAATAAATCTTGCTGTGTTTGGGTCACTGACATGGTCAACAGCGCTTGTTACTTTGTAATTCCTGGCTGGTACGGTAACCGTGGCTCTGGTTCCCTAGCTATTGCAGGATGCCGATAAGGTGGAGATTGTGCGGACTTGTTGTATTCGGATCAAACTCTCCATTTCATTTTCTAAAGGTTTCCTTACAAATTCATCAAGATTTAAGAAAGCAGTTGTTACTGATACTTTGGGAGCACTGCCAGTCACTCAGTAACACAAGTTCACGAGAGTTTATTCATTTTGCAATATTAACTAGGCACATGTTATTTTAAAAGAAATATTTATTCAGAAATTTATTCAAATACAGAAGTTAAATGTTTGAACCAAACTCACAGTTCATCGGGGCAGTTGATGGGTTGTGCTATTCTGTAGCCGTCCTTCAGATAGGCAGCCATCTCGAAGGGGTCGATGTCAACATAAGGAGTCTGTCCCAAGGTCATCAGCTCCCAGAGAGTAACCCCAAAAGCCCACTGTAAGGAAGCAACACGCAAGAGCTCAGAGCAGGCTGACTGAAATAGAAAGATGATCCCTCCCTTTCGACAAGTGATGAGATCACTTGAGTCGGACGTTATTTAGTAAACAAACAGATAGTGTTTACAGACCAGTATTTGAATGCCGAAAGAAATTCCTATTAAAATCTTATAGGACATATGGGAAGCTTCTTGGAGAGTTTCACAGATGATGGGGGGAGTCAGAATCCAGGTATTTATGATCAAATAAGAATAAGATGTTTTTAAAAATGCTGTTTTTAAGATTCATGTTCACACTTGTGTGTGTGTGTGTGTGCGCGCGTGTGTGTACGCGTGTGCGCGTGTGTGAGAGAGAGAGAGAGAGAGAGAGAGAGAGAGAGAGAGAGAGAGTGAGAGAGAGAGACAGAGAGACATTAAAGCATGTCAACATATTCTGTTACACCAAATACACAAAATAATGATCTTTAAAAAAGCATCATATGACCCCTTTAAGAACAATTTATTAGTGCTATTTCGAAATCAAAACATGAATAAACATTACAAAATATAATCTTTAGTTAATAAAAATTACTTGGTTTTAAGTTTTATTATTATTATCCATTTATATTAATATAAAATTATATCTATTAATATAAAACTGGTCAAATAAATAATTATTGGCTTATCTGCATCAGTCAGAATTTAAAATATCAGTGCATTCCTTAAAACGGACAATCATGACAAATCATGTAACTGCAGAAACGCATATAAATATGAGACTGTTCCAAAAGGAAAAAAAGGGCCCCTATCTGGATTTGTTTGAGTCATGAGGCCCCCGTTAGGACATTTTAGGGCCACTGGAAGTATTCTGGAAACAAAGCATTCCAGTAACACAAAAGAAGGAAATGTGGTTTCTTTCCATTGATTTTGGACACAATCACAGCTTGTTCACTGAGACATTTAAGACGCTTCAAATCTAATAAATAAGCCACCATGCCTATTTAACATGCATAAAGATGTTTGTTCTACATCATTAGCTACGAAACAAACTGAAGTGCAAATTAGTGTAATTACAGCTCTTGTTATAAATAATGTTCAAGTCAATCAAGTTGATTAGATGTCAGTCAATAATCTTGGATATAAAAAGCAACGCGACTATAAAAAGCTGCATTACTTTCAGTGCAAACAGTTCTATATGTGTCTGCCCTTCAGGGAGATGTGTTGGAAAATGCTAAACCGTAAAAGTACTGTAAAAAAAAAAAACTATGTTTGCGCTTGAGGGCAACACACTCGACTGCACAAATTAATTCTCCCTATTCATTAAAAGACAATCATGCCCATCTTTCCTATTACTTTCAGTGCAAACAGTTCTATATGTGTCTGCCCTTCAGGGAGATGTGTTGGAAAATGCTAAACCGTAAAAGTACTGTAAAAAAAAAAAAAACTATGTTTGCGCTTGAGGGCAACACACTCGACTGCACAAATTAATTCTCCCTATTCATTAAAAGACAATCATGCCCATCTTTCCTTTCTAGACATTTAAAAACAGACAGGCTTCTTTACATATAAAAGGATGTTGTCTTCCGCACTTAATGTGTTTTTTGTTTGTTGAGAGGCTATGAGAGGTAAAACTGGGCGCAGATCAAAGTTGACATCCACTGGTGATCTGGCATTTTGTCTTAAGTCTCAATGGGTGGGTGATATCCTGCACTACCGGCCCTTACGGTAAACAAATCTCCTGCGTATCCTAGTAAATGAGTACATTTCCATACCAGGCCACTGCTCATCACCAGCTCCTATTGTATTATAATAAACAGCGCTTTAATAATTGTTCCTGGCATGAGGGCAGCACCAGCTACTATTGTTCTGTTAGATTGAAAGGATGCAGAGGTCAGATCGCTGACAGGTCTTGGGCCGGTGTGTCATTTATGAGGCATCCAGGCGGCGTTCAGTCCTTCCTGACTGTCTAGGGTGGGTTGTTTCCTTGGCACATTGAGTGAGACAGACGGGAACGTGGCAACAGTGTGTTGCCAGACAAACACAGTTTTCTCCCCCATTCACTTTTCCCAGAAATACAAAAATGTGCCAGGGCTGAGTTTGGTTAAAAGGATAGCTCACCCAAAAATGCAAATTTGGTCCTCGTTTACTCACTTTTATGTTGTTTTGACCCACATATTTTTTTTCAAGGCAGAAATTAAGATATTTTTCATGAAATGAGACATTACTGTCCCTCCACTGAAAGTCCATGACACCAAAACTTTGATTCTTCACAAGCATCAACAAAACATTATATATAAGCAATCGATGGTAATAGAGTGGTTTAATCTGTATTTGCTTGATGCACAAGCTTACTGGTTCTTGCATGATACACAAGAATAAACATCACTGGTTCTCACGCATCAAGAAAGCATATTTGATCTTTATTTACCATATTTGTTGTGCTCCATGTATGTGCATTGATCAATATTTATATGTGAATAAAAGCCTAAATTAAATCAGTTTACCATATAAAGTGATCATATCTATTCAGAAGACTTCATAAGCATGAATCATAGTTTTTTTTTTTTTTTTACAATGTCTTTATGAATTCTGTGAAGCATTAATGTTCTGATGTAATGGTCTTTCAACAGAGTAACAGAAAACATTCATTTGTTTGATAGATAAACGCAAGTCTTTGGAGTTTGGAACGACATGCGAGTAAGTAAATGGTGGTAATTTCATTTGAGTGAACTCTCCCTTTACATTGCACTGTGCGCATATACTTGCGAAATTCTCTGAAATTTGATTGTACACCTATTATAGGACTATTACTCTGAATATAAACATATTAGGGAAATTCAAATGGGTGTTAACTGTGATATTGCTGAATGCAGCTGACAATACAGGCCTCAACAAGTTCATGGGCACCTGAAGCATGATTACTGTAATTGTCAGCAATAACAATGCACGATGGAGCAGACCGTATGACGTCAAAGAAGTTACGCAATTTTAAATCTGTTACCAGGTTTTTACCAGTGCCATAAGAAAATACTAAAAGTGTACAACATTCTTTTATAGGCAAATTATCCATAGGAAGAGAAAAATTATACATTAGAGAACACCTGCTGCTGGTATGAAACAAAATATTATGTGAGTGCATGTTACAGTCTGTTGCAAAAAAAGGCATAAAGAAGCAGCGACTCTTACCACATCACTGGCACTAGAGAAGTCATTGTTAAGCAAACTCTCCAAAGCCATCCAGCGAACGGGTCGGTTCTCATTGTCTCCGAGGCAGTGGTAGTCCATGGGGAAGAGATCACGGGCCAGCGCATTGTCTGTGATCTTCACTTGCATACTGTTATCAATTCTACAACAATAAATTAATAATAATAATAATGTAGAAGGGTAGGGATGGGTCAATGAGAGTGTCTTTTAAATCTCAACCTTTTCTTTTTAGCTGTCATGCCTTAAGGGGGATCGATTTAGACACGTAACTTCTCTGAGAGGGTGTGCTTTAGTGTGCCAGCAGTTAACAGCAAGTGTGTTTCTGTCAACATGCTAAACCCCTCTTTGAGAAGTCAAGATTGCAATTTATTCCCATTTGCAAATCACTCGAGAGCAATGATTTAGTTAGAAATGCACAGATATTAAAATACTAATGAGCTGATAATTATAAATGTCCAATATTTCAGTGTAAAAAAAATATAACAAAGCGGTTTTAAAGTGCTACAAGTGAATTTAGGCATCACATTCTTTTTTTATGTACAATATGGAAAATATTCATTTTGACTGCAAAGGTAATCTAAAAGTAAAAACGAGAATAACCATGCACAATTAAGTATACAACACTGGCTGATATACAATCATTTAAAAGTCTATTCTCACAATGGCTGCATTTATTTGATCTGAATATTTGAATATTGTGAAATATTATTAGAACTTAAATTGACTGTTTTCTGATGTGATGTGATTTTCTGATATGAATTGTAATTTATTCCCGTGATGCCAAAGTCTTCAGTGCCACACGACACGGATTTCCTTTGCTCTCGCACAAAACCGGACACGCGTGCTCAGATACACGCTGCTCTCGCCCCGAGAGAGTCTCTCCTCTCACTCAAACTGTGTCCTCTGCACTCTCAAATCTCTCTGTGCTCATGCACTATAGATATTAGTTATTTTTCGCACCTGAATTAAACGCTGTCAAAAGTTATCATTATGCCCTTTTAAAAAGTAGTCTCAAAACAGATTTGTGCAGGGCCTTTCCTTGATTTTTTAACATAAACTTGTTATTGTAACTACTTTGTTTTACTATATCTCTTTTATGTTTGTATTTTGATCTTTTCTGCGAATGCACATATGCACCTCTTTGTAAAGTAGGCTACTTTGTATACACGGTTTTAAAAGGTGCTTTATAAACGAAGCTTAAACCAATCAGACCTTCACAACTGACCGATGAAAATACTACATGAAATCTAATTGAACTGAACCTAGAATTCTTTTGACAATCAAAGATGGATCTTTAATTTCTTTCCCGTTTAATAATATTTAGCAGTGTTAATGAAATGTAGCCTTTAGAAATGGCTAGGAATTGGGTTCTTGGATGATTAGTCCAACTTGTTGGTCTCTGAGCAATTTATCTAAAAACAACATATTATAGCCTATGGCTCTGAAGACTTCATATAAAACATCAATGTTATGTCATAATATGTCAGATACATCAACTGAATTTAAAATCATTGCAATAAATTCTCAGTTGGTATGATGGCAATAATAAGTAACAACTCCTCAAATCAACATCAAATGCAAAAATAGATGTAAATGATGCAATATATAATACAATAAATGCTCTAGCATCGCTGTTTGGACATTTATTGGGAGATTTTTGTTTTTAAATCCAGTGTTTGTTTTCAGTTCAGATTTTTTTTTCATGAAAATCCACTTAATATCAGCTACACATTCAATGGCACTCTCCTCCAAAACAAATGCATTAAACCCATAGAATAGAATGTAGTAATGTTATGGCAAATATGAAAAATTAATTATAGTGTTATATTTGGTCTCCAAATTGTAAGTATTGGTTTAGGGAATAGTGCATCTGACCCATATCTAAATAGTTCTGTCTTAAATCATAAGATTACATTCAGCGTGTATCTGAGCGCGAGCGTCCGGTTTTGCGCGAGAGCAAAGGAAATCTGTGCGCGAGCGGAGAGATTCGCGCTTGCGCATTATATTAATGCGCTTTCGTGCTTTCGTGCTGAGCTTTCGACATTTGTCATTAAAATAACGCCACAGGACCTGGGAACATTACAGTTGCATTGCTGTCTATCTGTCTATGGAGAGCGCTCACATTTCCCGCTTCAAATTTCAAAAATATCATAATTTGTGTTCCGAAGATGAATGAAGATCTTTTACGGGTTTGGAACAACATGAGGGTGAGTAATTAATGACAGAATTGTCATTTTTGGGTGAACCATCCCTTTAATATTTTTTTGTGGAAACTGTAATGCATCTTTTTCATTAATCATTTATAAGTAGAACGATTCAAAAGATGCCATTTACTTGAAATAGAAAACCTTTAACAAGTCTCCACAGCTACTTTTGATCAACATAATGTGTCTTTGTGGAACAAAAGCATGTGGGAAAAAAACCTACTCGAAATTCTGATTGGTCGTGGTGTATACACAAAATACAACACCACCAATACATCATGCATGCATTGTTTATTCAGAAAATCTATACCCTATTTATTTGATTCCTCTACATTCAAGCATTGTTATTTATTTATTAATATCTGGTCTTTGAGCAGTAATGCACATAGAATGCAATGTTGCACATCCCTAGGGCGTTAACTTTTAAAAACGGATCTCAGGGTCCTTGCATACTGCTCCATTCAGTCGGTCTCTGTCCAGATGTTTGATCAGCATCTGGTGGACAGGGTACAAGACCCTAAACCAGCCTAATTATACAGTGCTACCTTAAGACTGACTAGTCATTCAGACAGAGCCATTTTCAAAGTATGTAGTTTTGCACAGACATACATCTAAGATTCAGTTCAGGTGAGAGGGGAACATTTTGGCAGTAAATACTAAAATAAATCATCCACTTTCAATGCCAAAATGCAGGGTATTAACTATAGCATGGGTAGTTCACATGATTTATGTTTTTCCAAAAAAAAGAGAGTGCATTGAGGCAGGAAGTATAGCAACACTGCCACAACAAGCTTGGTCTTGAAGAGGAAAAATTGATAGCTTAAACCACCCATTTAACCATTTTAAGAATACACTGGTCTGACTGATCGAATATATGTAATCTTGTCTTTGAAGAGGGTTCAGTGGCAGCTGAATGAAAGACAGCCCAGGGTTAACATCACAAAGGCTCGATTGTGAACAGTAAACTACTGTAAAGCAAATATCATAGAAAGTTCACTCGATGTTGACAGAGGATCTGCACAATGAATTCACTGTTCAGAAGAAAGCAATTAAATCAGGATAATCTGAACACTCCAGGTGTTCTGCTGGAGGGTCTCTAATATAAACACCTGCCTTAGACTGATTTATAGTTAACAGTAGAAGGAGTGTCATTACGCTACTTAGCATTAGCTGAATTCACAACTGCTCAAAAATCACTCTCTGTGCAAATGTCGATGCAGTTTAAATGTTGCATGTTAAATAAAACAACCAGTAAAATAAGTGTGCTGATTTTTTCAACTAAATTAATATCAGAGCAATGAAGGAGTGCTCTGATATCTATCAAACTCTCTTTGATTATACAAGCATAAATGGATTAGGTAGACTTAGTCAAGCTTATTGTGGCAGTAGTGTCATAAAAAAAAAAAAGGACAAAATGTCACAAATCTCACTTAAAAATCGAATAAATCAAATCAAATAAAAATACATTTGTGGAAGTCTTACCTGTGGGTTGTTGGCCTCAGCAAGCTTACATTGGCGCAGGAAAAGCTTAAGATTTCCCCAGTTCATATAGGGCAGCAGGACCATGGGCTTCTCACCATCTTCTATACACACATGGCTGATGGGTAACAGGTTCCTAAGAGCGAATAAACCAAAAAAATTGAAAAATAGGTTAAGATTTAAAACACATTTCTGCACATTTAATGAGTGGGGACTGGGGAACACAATTAAAACAAGAATTAGAGAAATTAATATCAGCTACACATTCAATGGCACTCTCCTCCAAAACAAATGCATTAAACCCATAGAATAGAATGTAGTAATGTTATGGCAAATATGAAAAATTAATTATAGTGTTATATTTGGTCTCCAAATTGTAAGTATTGGTTTAGGGAATAGTGCATCTGACCCATATCTAAATAGTTCTGTCTTAAATCATAAGATTACATTCAGCGTGTATCTGAGCGCGAGCGTCCGGTTTTGCGCGAGAGCAAAGGAAATCTGTGCGCGAGCGGAGAGATTCGCGCTTGCGCATTATATTAATGCGCTTTCGTGCTACAATAATGAGCTTTCGACATTTGTCATTAAAATAACGCCACAGGACCTGGGAACATTACAGTTGCATTGCTGTCTATGCAGGGTCTGAGAGCGCTCACATTTCCCGCTTCAAATTTCAAAAATATCATAATTTGTGTTCCGAAGATGAATGAAGATCTTTTACGGGTTTGGAACAACATGAGGGTGAGTAATTAATGACAGAATTGTCATTTTTGGGTGAACTATCCCTTTAATATTTTTTTGTGGAAACTGTAATGCATCTTTTTCATTAATCATTTATAAGTAGAACGATTCAAAAGATGCCATTTACTTGAAATAGAAAACCTTTAACAAGTCTCCACAGCTACTTTTGATCAACATAATGTGTCTTTGTGGAACAAAAGCATGTGGGAAAAAAACCTACTCGAAATTCTGATTGGTCGTGGTGTATACACAAAATACAACACCACCAATACATCATGCATGCATTGTTTATTCAGAAAATCTATACCCTATTTATTTGATTCCTCTACATTCAAGCATTGTTATTTATTTATTAATATCTGGTCTTTGAGCAGTAATGCACATAGAATGCAATGTTGCACATCCCTAGGGCGTTAACTTTTAAAAACGGATCTCAGGGTCCTTGCATACTGCTCCATTCAGTCGGTCTCTGTCCAGATGTTTGATCAGCATCTGGTGGACAGGGTACAAGACCCTAAACCAGCCTAATTATACAGTGCTACCTTAAGACTGACTAGTCATTCAGACAGAGCCATTTTCAAAGTATGTAGTTTTGCACAGACATACATCTAAGATTCAGTTCAGGTGAGAGGGGAACATTTTGGCAGTAAATACTAAAATAAATCATCCACTTTCAATGCCAAAATGCAGGGTATTAACTATAGCATGGGTAGTTCACATGATTTATGTTTTTCCAAAAAAAAGAGAGTGCATTGAGGCAGGAAGTATAGCAACACTGCCACAACAAGCTTGGTCTTGAAGAGGAAAAATTGATAGCTTAAACCACCCATTTAACCATTTTAAGAATACACTGGTCTGACTGATCGAATATATGTAATCTTGTCTTTGAAGAGGGTTCAGTGGCAGCTGAATGAAAGACAGCCCAGGGTTAACATCACAAAGGCTCGATTGTGAACAGTAAACTACTGTAAAGCAAATATCATAGAAAGTTCACTCGATGTTGACAGAGGATCTGCACAATGAATTCACTGTTCAGAAGAAAGCAATTAAATCAGGATAATCTGAACACTCCAGGTGTTCTGCTGGAGGGTCTCTAATATAAACACCTGCCTTAGACTGATTTATAGTTAACAGTAGAAGGAGTGTCATTACGCTACTTAGCATTAGCTGAATTCACAACTGCTCAAAAATCACTCTCTGTGCAAATGTCGATGCAGTTTAAATGTTGCATGTTAAATAAAACAACCAGTAAAATAAGTGTGCTGATTTTTTCAACTAAATTAATATCAGAGCAATGAAGGAGTGCTCTGATATCTATCAAACTCTCTTTGATTATACAAGCATAAATGGATTAGGTAGACTTGGTCAAGCTTATTGTGGCAGTAGTGTCATAAAAAAAAAGGACAAAATGTCACAAATCTCACTTAAAAATCGAATAAATCAAATCAAATAAAAATACATTTGTGGAAGTCTTACCTGTGGGTTGTTGGCCTCAGCAAGCTTACATTGGCGCAGGAAAAGCTTAAGATTTCCCCAGTTCATATAGGGCAGCAGGACCATGGGCTTCTCACCATCTTCTATACACACATGGCTGATGGGTAACAGGTTCCTAAGAGCGAATAAACCAAAAAAATTGAAAAATAGGTTAAGATTTAAAACACATTTCTGCACATTTAATGAGTGGGGACTGGGGAACACAATTAAAACAAGAATTAGAGAAATGACTTACTGTTATTAGATTCCCACTAGCAATGATACACAAAGTAGACAGGAAGTGACATGTTATCCTAAGGTACTTGGTCTGTCCAAGACTAATTTCAATCAGTGATTCATTTCTGACGAGGAAAAACTAAAGTCATGGGCTGCGCTGACCGTTTAACCTCAGACACGGGTCTGCGTGACTGCAAAGCTCGGAACGCTCAGGACAGGATATGGGTCTGAGCCCATCCCAAAAGGCAACCAAGCGGGAAACAGAAAAATCTAAACAGAATGTTTGACCTCAGGGCTGTTGTAATGCTGCTATATTAATATCAGGAAAATGATTATGAACAAAGATGAAGAGATATTAAATATGATGTGAAGTGATACTAATAGATGAACACCAGGATTACAAAATTAGTATTCAGTTTAAAATGTAATTGTCATTGCATTGTTCATGTCAAAAGTACAGTATATTAATTTTGTTAGTATTTTTTTCAGTATTAATATTTTTAGTTTTCATAGGTTTCAGTAGTTTTCATAAAAAAAATAGATAACCAATGGCCAATAAATGGCTGATATTAAAATTATATACTTTTTCAAATAAAATTAAAAGAAGAAAAAAAAAAGAAGAAAAAAAAACACGCCACAAGTGATTTTAGGCATCACAACAATATAATGTACAATAAAAAATAGATTTTAACATTCTGTAAAAATTATATTTAACAGTTCAACAACAATTTGTTTTTTTTAAAAGATCAACTTTACACTTAAGATTCACTTCAAGTTACTCTGAAATATAAATTACTGATACATTTCTAATATCTGTTGATATTAGATAACCAATGTGGTACCAGTAAGCCTCTATATTAGTGTATATTAAATGCCCGGGCCTTGGATCCAGAACTGGATTTGTTCATATCTTTTGTCAGACAGCCAACACCACAGAACAACTAGTCACTGGATTTGTGAAGTGTATTTTAGTGATCTATTTACACTAGTTTTTGTCTTAATAATAGATAGTTATAGTTAACAGTGATATGAAGACACAAAGTGATTAAAAATGATGGCACAAAGTGATTTATAAGAATAGTTCATAAGAAATGCAGAATGTCTGAAACCACATGCATTTCTATGAAGGAAACTTGGTAAACAAGAATACGTTAATAAAGAGAGAACGCAGAAGACGACAGTAATTCACACAGCAGAGGAAGTGTGTAGATAAGTAGACCTAGAAGTGTCATAGCTGCAACTGTGGTCATCATATTGCTGCCACAACATTCAAACATTACACAACATGCTTCCACTGTGGACAGGGTAATTTACCTTTCATGAAAGTATGGTAATTTATATACACAAGTATATTATGTCATCATTCTTGAAACCTCTAATCAGCATGTGTTTGATGACGTTACAGGGATTGTTTGTTATGTGAAGTGAACTTCTATAGGTATTCCGCGCTCAAAACACATCTATGGCAAGCTTTGTTCATATATGAAAGGATTGGATTAAAGCTAAAGTTTAACACACACACACATGTATATTGCCTTGAAAGTGGACAAAACCGGCTTTTTTGACAAAACGTGTTTAGGGATCAGATCGTGCTATATGTGGAGAATAATGCACGGCAATCAGCTCTTTTTTTTTTAAAGTGGCATTTATCGGTTTTTGCAAATGAACTCTTCATATATATATATATATTTTTTTTTTTGATGCAGCACATGGTAGCTGTAACTCACCTGTGGTGAAGGCCCCGTAGTTTACAGCTTTCTGTAAGCATCATGGTCACCTGTACCTCTCAGGAAGTGACGATGATATTCCAGTTTTGCACTTAAATTTAATTCGTAACTTTGGATGGAAACATAGCTACTGTTAAATTAAAAGGATTGTGTCATTATTCCCTTAAACATTTTTCCATGCAATTACAATGAACAGGGACTATACATTTCGAAAAGAATGCAAAAAAAAGTCAAAAATGTAGATTTGTTCCTCACACAATGCTTTCCTATGGCATATGAACTACTTTTATGATGCATTTGTCAGCATTTTTGGAGTCACAATACTTTATTTTTAGATTCACCAATTGAGTTTAAAAAAAAAAGAATAAAGTAAGCCATAGAGGTTTGTAATGAAATGTGGGTAAGCAAAAAAAAAAATTCTGTGAACTATCCATTTAAAAGAACATTAAATCAAGTGAATGATCTGTTGGATCTTATTTGATCTGTTTTGCCCCATCAGGCAAGTCCTTGTTAGTAAAAGGTGCATGTAGGTCCTGAACAACCCTCCACCTTGCACTTGAGAAAGTTTGATTACTTTAAAAGCAGCCTAACTCCTTTCAGCCAGTCTCACAGATTACTGGCTGAGTGAACACATTTAGAATGAGTTCACAGAGGTCTGGTTTTATCTTGAAGCACAGCTTTTGACGGATGCTTGGAGAGTATGTGTGAAGTGTATTGTTTCCTGTCCCCACAATGATTTGCTTAAGCAACATGTTAAAACACTTTTTTTGGCAAGTAAACAGGCTGTCAGACTAATTTTGCAATCCCTCCCATGCAACTCACAAACATGTTCAATACCATCTCGGATTTAAAATTCAGTAGCAAAAACTAGAGTATGTACATTAGATTGTTTGAACTGATTCACAGAAATGAATCCGTCTCAATGAATCGGTTTCAATGAACCGTGTTGGGGTAAAAGGACTGCATTCATCATTCATATATTTTAAATATCATGAAAAGTTCAAACAAATATGTATTTCGCTATAAGTCCTACGCTTCTTGTTTCACTGCATCTTTGGGATAAAACAACATGCCAACTTTTGCACAGCAGGTCTGAACAGGTATCCTGGATGACCTCCGAGAATAAACATAGCATGGATTTACCAGCAGGCGCAGGACAGTCTCTCACCTTTTTTGCTGTTCTACAGACAGTTGGACATAGTTGCAGTTCCCATAAGCTCAGATGACACCATGTAATGGATCAGTGCATCTTGCAGAGCAGTAGACCTCAGAGTAGGCTGACTTAGGGGTAGTGTTACTAATGCTAGGGGCCAGCACCACATTGTCTACTACTTTTCCCTCTTATCCCCTCTCTTGCTGCCATGCTTGTTATAACATGCCAATTGTTACTTGTACTGGTAAAAACAAAATGACTGAGCAAAAGAACAATATGTTCCATGGATGGTGTGTTTCTTGGTTGCAATGCAGAACTTACATCTAACCTTCCAAAAAAAAAAAAAGTAAAAGCATACACATTGCATTATACATTATGCAACCAGCTGGGTTCCCGTTTCAATTGCTTTAGGTAGTTTATGATAAACTGGTTAAGTGAAAGGATAACTGCAGTCACACTTGAGACGAGCATGATCATTATGCTGGGCATTGGGGGAAATTCTTGGTAGGAAGACGTCTTTAATGGTTGCTCAAGTTTTGGTCAAGAAACTAAGCACTGAATGTCCTAAGACGCAACATGCACTCTGTTTTACAATGAAAAGGCAAAGTTGCCCAGCTTGGGAATGGCACAGACCTTACATCATTATAGACCTAAAATGTACTCTATCCAAGTACGTGAACACCGATGCAAGATCAATTTGACCTGCATCGCTGCGTCCTGAAATGTTCACGAGTCTGTTAAAGTTAGACATCCCTAGCTCTCCTTGGAGCGTTCGATAGAGAAGTAGCAATGCTGTCATTCAAATGTTTTCAATCGGTCAGTTGATTCAGCTCACAGAACACGGTCAATGCCCTGCAATCAACTAGATATCTACGTACTTACAGCTCAATGGAAATGAATTTGAAGTTTTTATTCTTTTATTTTAAGATTAGGAGTGATTATGATAACTTTTACAGTGTAAATTTTGCATAAATGCATAGAAATTCCTGGGGCAAAATACACATTATCATACAATAAATGCTTTAAATTTTTTGTTAGGTGGCAAAAAATGTGTTCATAAGATCTGCATGTCATTTGCAGATTCCATGTCCCTGTAATAACACAAAACCCATCAAAACAGAGAAAAACACACTAAAAATGCTCTTAGCATTTGTTTCATAATGTATTGTATTCTAGACAGTAATGAAAACACGAATAATTCTGATATGTCATTCAAAATGGACTTTAAATCAATGTATTTTCTGGTTTGTTTGTTACTTTTTAAATGTTTAATTACACCAGTAAACTTGTTCATTACTCTTTAGCCTAATAACACCTAAACCTTTTAAAACTGTAGTTTAAAACTAATGATTACATTTATGCAAAGCTGATAAGAGTCCCTTGTCATTTATGTTCTCCATTTGAAAATTCAGTCTACGTTTAATATCATTATTGCTGCTTCTGTTATTAAGCATGGTTTAAAAAATTATTAGTTAACATGTCGATTTCGTACCGTGCTTCACTAAAAGCTATCGTATGGTTTTACAAGATGTTTGAACCACTTTTATGATACTTTCAAGTTGCTTATTTTGTCACTTTAGAGCTTGACAGCCCTCATTTCTCATTCACCCTCATTATATGGAAAATGGTAGTAAAGATATTTACAAACAATTCACTTTGTGTTGCACAAAAAAAAAAGGTAATACGGTTTGGGACAGCAAAAGGATAAACAGACCATTTTTCATTTTTGATTAAAAGGAGCCATGCCCTTGTGCTTCTGACCTTGGTATTACTACAAAGCAATTGCAGAAAATTTTTAATAAGTAAAAGAACTTTGAAATTTGCACTTTGCATAAGGCCATTCAAATACAAATTATTGAGCTGGTCATAAAAAAAAAAAAACACAAAAGCAAATGGGCCCTTCAAAAAGGATTAATCTGACATTCCCCCAAGTGTCCAATAAAATTGGTTTAATCAGATTAACCAGCTTTAGTTTGCCAAGTCAGCACTTAAAACACAACACAATAACCCTTATAAATAATAAATCAGCTTCATCAAGCTTGTGGGCACACGTACAAAATGAAAGTCTCACTGATGGAAAAAAAGATGCTACAGAGGGGAATTACTGCATTGAGATTTTGCAAGAACGCAAGTCAAACAAGGTGGGTTCTTGACGCAGTTTTGTTTATGTTTTATATCTTATGTGACTAATGACATGTGTGTCAACATCTTCTGTGCAAGCCTAAAGCTGTGCTGGCTCAAGGCCCAGCAGAGCGCTTTTCTGTTTGGACTCCAATTAAGTGCTTGAGTGCAGATTTCCCGCTGGAGCACAGCACTTGTGTGATCCAACAAAATTATTTTGCAGGGGGAAGTGTCTAACCTCAAGCTGAGTGGGCAAATGACGCTGACGCATTTGTTTGCCATGATGCAATTTCAGTTGAACTAGCCGTTCAAAAGAACACAAAAGCAAATGGGCCCTTCAAAAAGGATTAATCTGACATTCCCCCAAGTGTCCAATAAAATTGGTTTAATCAGATTAACCAGCTTTAGTTTGCCAAGTCAGCACTTAAAACACAACACAATAACCCTTATAAATAATAAATCAGCTTCATCAAGCTTGTGGGCACACGTACAAAATGAAAGTCTCACTGATGGAAAAAAAGATGCTACAGAGGGGAATTACTGCATTGAGATTTTGCAAGAACGCAAGTCAAACAAGGTGGGTTCTTGACGCAGTTTTGTTTATGTTTTATATCTTATGTGACTAATGACATGTGTGTCAACATCTTCTGTGCAAGCCCAGAGCTGTGCTGGCACAAGGCCCAGCAGAGAGCTTTTCTGTTTGGACTCCAATTTAGTGCTTGAGTGCAGATTTCCCGCTGGAGCACAGCACTTGTGTGATCCAACAAAATTATTTTGCAGGGGGAAGTGTCTAACCTCAAACGGAGCGGCCAAATGACGCGTTTGTTTGCCATGATGCAATTTCAGCTGAACTGGTCGTTCAAAAGAACCACTATTAGAAAGATCTCAATGGAACTGAGGTGGACAGATTACTAAGTATTGAGTCTTTCAAATGCACAGTATTAACTTGCTGTGGTTTCCATGTGCGTCTAGATACCTTCATGCAAGACGTCTCGGAGTGTGACTCTCTCTCTGGAAATGGCGATGTCTTTGACCTTTGCCTTGGCCTCAAGGAGAGTGACGCTTCTCAAGTCGTTCTTCTCTATCCGCAGCGAGGGATAACCTTCAATCACACACACACACACACACACACACACACACACACAAATATCACATTAAAATAAGTGTTAACAATTCACATTAGAACTAATTAAAAGGCTATTACAGACAAATCAAAACAAAGACAATTCAGAGAATGACAGAGGTTTGCAGTGTTATTTTAACAACTGGAAGTATTTAAACACTTCATCAATGAAGTATAACCCCAGCTTTGCCAAAGGCAAACACTGCAGTGTCACTCTTGCACAACATGTTTTGGTGTGTAACTGATTTTATCTCACAGTTATACAGAGTCAATTGTATTAGATGTTTAGAGAAAGCTGAATGTTTTATTCTGTCATTTAGCTACAGAGTACTTTAAATACACAAGAACATCCCCCCAAAAAAAGGTCAAAATGTACTGTGAGCACAAATACCAGTACATAAGGCTGTTTAAATGTGGTTGTGTATCCTGATAAAAACATTGTGTATCCTCATGTGTTGTTTTTAGGTTTACATGTCTTGATTGAACAATTTTCCTGTTTATATTCAATACTTCACGGTGTCTTGTGGTAAACATGATCTTAGTGATTATATAAATACAATTGATTATGAACCCAGAACAAAGTGTAAATATATAACTTTTCACTAACAATACAACAATACAGTGTTCTGATTCATTTGGACTACATTTCTCCACTCATACTAAATGTGCATGATGCTGCCCCCAAGTGGTTATTATGGGTAACTAATGTAAAACTGCTAATATTCCTTATAGTCTATTTAAAATATATTAACCCTCTGGGGTCTGAGGTGATTTTGGGGCCCTTGAGATGTTTTGACATGCCCTGACATTTGTGCTTATTTCAGCTACTTATAACATATTGTTAATCAACATGTGATTTTTTTAGAAAAAAAAAAAAGATTATGTGTGATTAGTGAGTTTTGGGGGGAAAACGTAGCTGAAATAAGGCCATAAAACCCATACTGAATAGTTCTGAATAAGGCTTTTGAGTAATCAGTCTTGTAGGCTAGAATATTTACATCAAAATGATCTTAATCTTTTTTTTTTTTTTTAAGTGAGCTGGTCGTGCCACTGTCGACCCCAGGGAGTTAAAATGAAAAAAAAAAAAATTAAATTGTAATAATATTTAACACTTAGTTTAAAAACATTCCAAAATTTTTGTAATGACTTTAAGTGTGAAGAAATGACTCTGAAATGGCACTAGTGAATGACAGGAAAGGATTGAGCAAATACTAGGAGACTGACTTTTGTACTATTTTGAGGGGACATGACGACTTTACAAGTACGATACGCAAGACACATTTGTACTCATTCTGATCACACAAAAACAATTAATGCTGGAGTCACTGCTGTGCTAAACTTAAGGACAAAAATGTGTGCGCCTGTTTGTACCAACCTTATGATTCCAGTTTAGCTAATTTGATCATTTGTTTCCAATTTTCTCATTTATAAAGGAATGCACATTTGGTGTGAACAGGGCAAGACAAGATGCAGCCAGAAGTGTGAAATTTAGCTGTGGGGAGCAAAGCACCCAGCTGGTGTTTATCTACTCTTTGAGCTACTTCTCCTGGTAAAGAGACAGGTTTCTGACATTTTAAACATGGAAGTGGAGTGCAGATGGTTAAGGCAGATGGTAGAAAGGTTTGAGAGAGTTGCTAATCTGAGGTCAGGGGTGAGAGACATGGTGTGGTCGTAGTCTTACTGGTGACAGGTGTAGCATTGTTGGGGGTGTCTGCCCTCAGGTACTGGGTGGTCTGGGTGGAAGGCTGAGACAGACCCTGAGAGCTTCCACTGTCGCTGACGCTAAAAGATTTAGAGAGAAGAAATTAATCACTTTAGGAATTGATATGCACCAATTTGAAAGGTACGTGGGCTTATATTAGGACTTCCTATAATAACCTCAAATCATTTTACTAAAACAGACCAGTCTTTCATACTAAATGGTTTCACAGCCACTTTTATGATGAACTCATCTGTTTTTTCAGAAGGTGTAGGGTTTTACCTGGCCCTGAACCCCAGTGCATTTAAAAACTAAGTGCTGTGTAATTGTCCCAATTAAAGCCATTAGACTTCAACTCAAAAGGTTAAACACTGAAGCCCCTGGAGAAAAACCTAAAATGCTGCAAGTTTAACCTGCCTCCTGAAACTCATTGAACATAATCATGATCTAATGTCACAGACTCATCATCATCATTATTAAACAGTTCTGGTTTCTTCTGGTCTACTTCTTGGGCTGTGGAGCAAAAACAATCCACCAGTAGAAAACGGAGTCTGAGTACATTCTTGTTCTGAGGTTGATATGTTTTAGAAGATAAATGGAGCTCGGTGTCTCTTCTTCTAAATAGCAGCAGATAAAATCGAATCTACCAACCTTATATAATGCTGAAAAAGACAGCTCTTTGTACTGATGCCTAATTCAATTTCAGAAAAGCACAATTAAAATACCCTGGTATGAAATTAGCAGGAGATGAGATTTTTTTCTCTCCCGTCTTCTTTTGATAAACCCACAATGAAAACGAAAAGAAAAGAAGAAGAAAAAAAGAACCACACAAAATCTGAAAAAAATAGAATGAGGGAGAAAAAAAAAACATGTCATGAGCAAATATATGAGAACTAGACTGTTTTGGTGCATTTAAACTAACTGAACATTCAAACACAGACGTGCATGCATACACACCTGTCATCCATTTCCACTCTCTTCATGCTGTGGAGGTGTAACACAGCAAGGATGATGGCTACCAGAAAGATGACGATGCAGCACACACACACACTGATGTAGAAAACTCGTGTGGATGTGGTGGGAGCATTTGAACTGCTCGCTAAGATCAAAAGAGAGGAGAGAGTTTACAAGAGCAGAGTGAAGATGGTCTCATTGTAGAACCACATTTACTAAAAAGGCCAAACAATAAATCGCAAATACTCACGGTCTATTCTCTGTATGGTTGTGTTTGGGAATGGCAGAGTTTTGGGGGGCTCTGGCTGCTCAATTCCTGTAAAGTAAAACAATAAGGGGAAGGATCAGCAAAGTCTAATGCCTATGCCAGTTCACCGTTTTAGATCACTGAATGTTGCCCATCAGAGGAACTAGAAAATGACAGATTTTGCTCAAATTTCATCCCAAATTCTAAAAAAAAAAAAAACCTTCTTCTTTTGAAATGACAACAATCTTGATGGGTCTCATGAGATTCATCCAAACACATGGACTGGTTAATTGTGGTCTCATTTATGTTTGGTTTGTAAATTATTGCCAGGGCAGTAAAATCTCACTCCTGCCATAGAAAGTATAAGACACAAAATATCTTCTTGAGCACCACATACACACGCTGACCCAGTTATTCCACAAGGGAGAGGAAATTGGGGCATACACAAAGTCTTTTTCTTCTCCAGCAGTTAATTTGGCTCATGTGCTTCAAATAAGCAGAGAATAAATTCACTGGCTATTTCCTCTAGGTAAGCATATGACAGAAAGCTTGTGTTATTATCATATTTGCAGTCTCTGGCAATGTGAAACCTGACACACAATCTGCCAAACACACAAAACCTACAACATACTTGCAGGAAAAAAATGCGAAGTTTAAAGAAAAAAAATAAAAATAACACAAACATGCACTAAGAAGATCTTAAGAAACAGATGTATTGGAGGCAATAAGGTAAAAGTGTATGAAAAGATCTTACTTCGGTAACACATTTTCCTGCGTTTGAAGTTGAGCACTGTGAAGTTGTTGGCTGGTGTAGTCAGGTTCAACTGCACCGTAAGCACAGCCTCTCCATCAGCCTTTCCAGAGCAGAAAAGATCCACTCTGAACACTGGAGTGACACACAGAAAGTATACTTACTCTATTAAATTACTAATAATAGTTGTAAACAATGAATGCAGGGCCTCATTTTTTACTTTTTAAAAAGGGTATGAGCTGCTTTTGTGCTGGCGAATTAGCATTTGCCCGAATCCTGCTAAACTACATGAGAAGACCAATTAAACACTAATACAAATGTTTGGCACAAACATTTGGTCCAATTTTTGCATTGTTCAGACAATGCGAATAAACGTCAGACAGTTTGAATGCAAGTGCAAAATAACTCTCAGACAGTAGGTGGTGCAAAAAGTATTGATATGTTTTTAAAGAGCCATTTAGATTTTGGATTCACTATCGTGTTTATTAGGCAACACCAAGACGAGCCAGTTCAGGATTCTTCCTCTGTTATTCACTGCAACTACCAAGTCACCAATAGTTTAATGTAACTGCAGCGGCTCTGGGCATGTGACCAAAAGCATGAATCGTATAGGTTGGTCAGCTTTATTTGCAGTGCAATGGAAAAGAGATTTAACACCTCTCCATGAAAAAATAAAATAAAATCAGCTGCATTGACAGCATGTGAATGTTAATGCCGGTTCACTCAAATTAAATTAAATTGAATTTGTCTTGGTGTGCACAGGTCATACAGGAATTAAGGCTAGATAAAACCTTTAAAAAAAGCTGTGGGTTCTTAAGTTGTGATGTATAAACTTTTCATCTATAAAAGTCAGACAAGAACAATTTTTCCAATAGTTAACAGGCCTTTTTTATGTGAAGACCTTAAAACATATGTAAAGATAGAGTCACTATTTTTTTCTTGAAAATATAGACTGTTATAGATCTCAACAGCACCTTTTCCCTTGAAAATACAACATACAGTGGGTACGGAAAGTATTCAGACCCCCTTAAATTTTTCATTCTTTGTTATATTGCAGCCATTTGCTAAAATCATTTAAGTTATTTTTTTCCTCATTAATGTACACACAGCAAAAAAAAAGAGAGAAAAAGAATTCACTCACCTGAACGAGTGCGCGGGACCTCCCCCTGAGCAGAGATGTTGCTCTGAGGTTGATCCATGGCTGAAGTGTTTTCCACTTGAAACCCTAACCTGTAATCCACCTAAACAGGAGACAAGGATTACGGGAAATAATTAAGATATTGATACAAATATGTGATTAAAAGACAAAAACGATAATATTGTGAAATATTACAATAATTTAAAAATTAATTTCTATTTTAATTTGTTTTAATGTAATTAACTTGTGATGGCAAAGTTGAATTTTTGCATCTATTACTTCAATCTTCTTCGGTGTGTCAAGATCCTTCAAAAATCCTTCTAATATGCTGATTTGGGATTTATGAAACATTTATTATTATTATCACAGTTGAAAACAGTTGTGCTGCATTATAGTTTTGCGAAACCATGATTTTTTATGATTCTTTGATGAATAGAAAGTAAAAAAGAAAAAAATGACTGACACCAAACTTTTGAATGGTAGAGCACATAGGATGTATGAACAGTGCCAACCTTGCTGCTGGAGTGCCATGTGAAATGTAGGCTGTTAGTGTCACTGGGAACAGGCAGGATGAAGGAAAGGGCATAAAGATTTACCACATCATCCCTTACATAGTACAACTCAGCATCAAGACCTGCAGAGAGAGAGAGAGAGAGAGAGAGAGAGAGAGAGAGAGAACATAGAGCAGAGTAAACTTCACTGTCCACACTAGACAGAGATTCATGCCTGGGTTTACTCGGAATTGAGAGAGAGAGAGACAGAGACAGAGAGAGAGAGAGAGAGAGTTTTAATAATAAAATGATAAAACTGATCAGGACTGACAGAATTTAAACAGTTAAACACATTTCACATTCACACAACCACCCTGCCTCAAGAGAGGAGTAAAATATAGTTTCATAATGCCAGGCTCCATCCTATGTGCTCATTTAGGCTTAATGTATTCCCCAGCGCCTGGAAGTATATGGTGCAAGAGGAAACCATGGCAACAATACATAAAATACATTCTTTCAGTGTGGTGAACAACCACTGTCTGACATAGTTCCACTTCCTTGGAGGAGCTGGAGCAAGATCTGGATCCATTATATCACAGAGGGCAGGTATGACAGCCACCGAAATATGATTGCAATTTCCAATCAGGAGGATATGATTTACAGCAGGCTCAAGTGTTCATATGTTGATATTCTAGAATATTTCCCATTAAACTGATGGGACCTTTGAAACCACCAAGACTGCCGCCCATGTTTTGACCACAGTTCATTCCTCTCTCTCTCTAGCATGTCCATTTAGAACCACTTGGAATGGTTTTCATCCATTATACCAAGAACAATATCCTCAGTTGCCACCTCCACCATACAGTGAAGGGAAAATGTTCAAGTGTAGTATGTTTATGTTTAAGGACTTCACCCCTCAAAGCAAATCATCTCCGCTTTCCCCTGCCTGGCCTCCATTTTCTAACGACGCTGTAATCTAAACGGTGTTTCCTTCCCGGCTACATTCCTGGGAGAGACTCGACCTGAAATGCCTTTCTCCCAGGCAGCACAGCACACCTGCGATCCCAGTTATACTGTAACCAGCCCCCAATGAACAGCTGGAAAGTGGCAGTGATGATGAACACAAGAGCGAAATCTGAAGTGGAGGCTGATTCCCACACGAATGAGACACAGTGATGTGTGAAGTTGATTGACAGCGCGGAATCTTCTGCCATGCCTTGGGGCAAACCTTATGACTGAAAGGCCCCGTTGTGGCTGACTGGAGCCTGTCAGTCTGTCATGGGGTCTGCACAAACATAAGGTGATGGGAGTACGTGAACATACCCTTTCTAAAACATAACTTAACAAACAACAGTAGATGATTTTATTATTTATTTTTTGGCTAAACTTTTTAGATGATTTAGATGCATACCCTTAGAGACAACATAAAAATCAATATACACTACTGCTGGTCAAAGGTTTTGAAAAAAAAGATCTTGTACTCACCAAGGTGCAATTTGATCAAAAATAGTTATTAAAAAAAAAAAAAAAAAAAAAAAAAAAAAAAAAAA